AATATGTAAATTAGATACATGTATTCTTACAAAAAAAAAATGCAAAACATCAATGTAAATTATCTTTAGCAATATCTTTTCATTACACAGATTGATGCACGCATGCATGTAATGCTTGAAAAGCGGGAGGGTATATTAAGTAATCGGTATGTCTGTCTGTCTGTTATGCTTTGGTGTACCCATCTCTTATCCGTTAATTCCTCTAATACCACTGAGTGATATTTGATGACTTTCACAGAATCTATGTTACACATTGCATTGGGGAACTTCTATTTTACTCTTTGATACGCCACATAGGAAAACATGAACACGGTCATTATATTCATATGAGAATTAGCGGTGGGTATCATTTAGTGTCAGAGTTCATTGCTCACAGTACCTCTACTTTTATAATATCTATACTATTTCAGTAGCTACTTTTAGATGGGCAATACTTTAAAAGGGAAAATAGTGGTACACATAGAAATATTCAAAATTTTCATAAGCTGCATATGTGATTGATTGATTGTATACTGTTTAGAATGTCCCTCTCGAGAATTTTTCACGCATATGGAGACGCCACCACTTGCCGGTGGAGAGCTACAAATTTTGGGCAAGGGCCTTTGAGCAGGGAGGAATCTTTTTTGTGCCAGCACCTACAGTGACACGGGGCCTCGGTTTATACGGTTTCATCCAAGGACCGGTTTTCACGTCCCACAGTGGGATTCTTATTAGCGACGTAAGGATTGACTCCTTACTTCCCGACTCTAGAGCAGACGCTCTAATCACTGCGCCACGCGGGCGACAACTGCATATATATGTGAAGTTTCATACCTGATATATACACAAGTATTTGAGAACTGCATTGACATCATCTGATCAAAAATTCTATGATATTAAATTAGAAAAAAACAACCATAATTTGATCAGAAGGCTCTAGTGAAAACTGCATGATTGATATAAACAGCTGACACTATTAAAACTTCAAACAAATGTAAACAAACCTTTAATCCTTTATCCAGGTACACATGTATATGTGTAGAGGAAATTCGGAGGGACTTCTTGGGCATACACACGAGTACGGATACGATAGAATTAAATTTTAGTCTCTTGGTATTTGAAAAAACACATGTATGGTTCTCACAAATCACTGGGTATTGATAAGTAAGAATAATGACTTTTATACGCGTAACTGCATATGCATGCATAGTAGACTACCTTACAAGTACTGAAGTAGGAACGAACTATAGCACACCTGCATTTTCTCTTCAATTTTAGACATGCTATTAACAGCATTTGACAAACATGCCCTAAAATATTTAGCCATTTTGTGCTAGAGGTAATCGAAAAAATAAATGAAATTCTACTTACGAGTGTTTTTCTTCACTAAATCAATGTTTGTGGGTTAATCTTTACCATCACAACTACTCCCTTCCACGTGGAAACATGTTTACAAAATCGAGAGGTGCTGTTTTGACACTTTAAAGTGCAAAAGCACTTGACAGAATAAGAAACTGCAAACCTACTTTCACTTTTCAGGTAAAGAAACGTTTGTTTTTCAACTTTTTGCAATTTACAAATTTTATAAATCGAGATTACATAAAGTTTTACCTCTTTTTTTCATGTTGAATTTCTCTCTCGATTTTCACCTGTAGCATGTTGGTCTCGCTGAATTCTCGCGAGGAAAGGTGTTTGGACGTTTACGGATTTTGTTCATATTTTATTACGTTTATCTCCGAATTCTTCCGATTTATGCTAATGAGGTTAGGAGGTGTGTTTTGGTTAGTCAAGCACGGAAGCACAAGGGCACTCCCGTATAAGTAAACTTGCGTCAACTTCTGTGGTGTTGAAACCACATGGACGTGGCACAATGTCAATTTTTTTTTTCAATAACAGAAAACGTGGAGTAATTATGCATTTTATTCATATTAAAACAATGCTTTTATCGAAAAAAAGTACTTGGATAAACGGTAATCAAAACCAGGTATTGTCTATAAGCTCAATCGCCATGCTTGATTTCATTGTTTACCTCGAGGCAATAGATGATTGACATGCCGAGAAGCCAAAATTTGAAGGTGCTAATGATAATTATCGGGTAACAACTTTCAATAGTTTAATTAAATTATAATTTGGCAAAACTTTCTCGATTGGTCGTACCGTGCTAGTGTGTATATAAAAATCAAGCACCCTTCGACATTACGTAATCGCGTGTTCCGGTTTACATGTACATGTACTTAATATGTTAAACCTTTGAACACATACACAAAATAATATTTAGAAATCCGTTAGCGCACAATAAATTTTAGCGTTCGGGGGTTCTTGCGCCAAAGGCGCTAAAATTAGTAGTGCGCCAAATATTCTCGTTTTACAGTATTTTTTGGCATAGCCCTCAAATCAATCCCCAAGAAGATGGATCTGTAGGACCTATGTCCAAAAATATTTTGTGTTTACAAGTCTCCACACATGTGTCAAAATTATGCACGCAGTATGAAATAAAATAAAAATCACTTTTTTCAGCAGAACAATAATCAGAAAGAGCTAGAAAGGCCTACACAATCACTTTTTGAATTACTTACACAGATAAGATTTTACTCTGAAAATTTTCGTTTCAAATTGAATATCAATACATGTAAATAAGTGCATTACAAACACAAAATATGGCAAACGATTTAAAAAGCATTCATTTTTACCTTTGTTTCAAGGATTAGAGCGCAATCAGCCAAAAGGAAAGTCAGGAACAAGCCACACGAGGTTCTTTCGCTGACTTGTTTTTTTTTTCCTGTAACAGGAAGTGCAAGTAGAACCTGGCTTATTCGGCTTGTCGGTTTCGTGTTCGTCACAGAATCGGGAAATGCCTTATAACTTTAATTTTCGTCATTCAATTTTTTTATCTTGAACTTTGATGACAACTATGGCACGCCAAATTCACAAAAATGAGATAAACCTAGTTTCACATTTGATAAACTAGGTTTATCGACTGTAAACTATAGTTTACAAACCGTAAACTATAGTTAACGATTCATTAAGTATAGTTTTCATCTGTAAAACTGTATTTAACGGTTGTTAACTATAGTTTACGAATGATAATCTAAGTTTATCTGTCTGTAATAAGCGTTAACAATATATTTTGTTGATAAACATAGATTCACGTTTGTAAACTATAATTTACAATCGTAAACTATAGTTAAGAGTTGTTAATCATAGTTTCACAAATCGTGAAACTATATTTATCAGATCGTTAACTATAGTTCACGGTTTGCAAACTATAGTTTACAAATCGTGAAACTGTATTTATCAGATAATCTATGTTTTGCAATCGCAAATGATTGTTTTCAGTGTTAAGTATAGTTTTGGGTTGTGAAACGTAGATTATCGCGTTAACTATGGTTTACGGATGTAAAATATAGATTAACGTTGTTAACTATAGTTTACAGTCCGTAAACTATAGTTTACAACCGATAAACCTAGTTTATCGACTGTGAAACTATGTTTAACTCATTTTTGTGAATTTGGCGTGCCATAGACAACGGTTATAAAATTTACGTTACAAAACCAAAGGTAGTTTTACTATGGAATGCCGTACGTCACATATTTCGTCATCATGCGGCTGAGAAAGCAGACAAGAAAGAGCAGAACGAATGCATATTTTCTGTAAGTTTATATTTTCATCTTGAATCTTCTATTTTTTATACCAGATAGATGTAATAACTTTCTTGGGAATATTTTTTGACAACTTAAATAATAGATCCAGGTAGATACTGCTGAGGTCCCCAGTGGGTCCAGGGCAAAGCCCTGGTGGGGGTCCTGGGGGCGAAGTCCCCGGAAGTTCATGGATTCTAGAGGTTTTGTAGCCGGAGAAAATGAGGTCTACCGAGTAGACATTTGACAAAACTATGTTTTATGCTAACTTTGACAATTTTAGGAGGGCGCGCACTGGGTGCGCCCCAACTTAAATCCGCCACTGAGTCTAAGCCTAGTTACTTTCCAATAATGAGTTGTCACGTACAATATACTCACTACTGTAGGTCTATATATATTTTTTATTGTGGTTACTAAATAATAATGGCCAAGCTCTAAAAAGCAGTTGCCAACCTATAATTTTTAGACTGGTAGGAAGGTAGTAATATTAAAGGCATTTTAAAAAAAAATGTTTTCAGATTCTTGCTGGATAACAAATAATAGAACTTTTCATAGACTGTCCCCCACTAAATATGAATAAGCTCCACTCTTCATCACTTGTCAAAATCACAGCTGTTTGGTAAACAGCAACTGAACAAAGTCAAAAATAAAATAGTTTAATGTCCTGAAATATTGAGAAAAAAATTATTACAAACATGGCTAGAAAAGATTAATTGGGTCGGATGCATTTTCTATGGGACGGTAGGCAACTGCCAACAAACAAATATTTATTTTAGGCCTATGTTTTAAAATATTTAGTAAATATTGTACATGACTGTGTATTCTATACTTACAGGTATTTGCTAGTATATGTAATAAGCAGATGGTACTCCATTATACTGCACTGATAGCTTCTCAAAGATTATACATGCAAACAGGTAAGAAAATTCTAGAATAGAGGGAAATATTTGTTGCAGATGTACCGGGTCAACAGGTGCGTGAAAGTCAGTCAAAATATTGGGTCTCAATAGCTCAGTGGGTTAGTGTGCTCAGGAACTGTATGCCAGAGGCCCTGGGTTCGAGTCTTGGTTGAGACTTCACTTTTCACCACCTGTTACAGTTGTATATATTGATATATGAAAATAATACATGTATTATATTATCACATTGTATAGCAATTGTGTTAATTATTGAATGCATAGCAAAACCATTAGCATTCAGACTAAATTAAGTTAAATTATAGTTAACTTTATTAATTCATAGAATACTTGTGACTTGTGTAATAAAATAATTGTTATAGAGATAATGAACAAAATGAACAAAATGTTTTTGAACTGACTTTTTGAGTTTCTCTGTAGGCACAGTTAAAATGTCAAGATGAAATGACAAGATCAAACTTCAAGTACCAGAGTAATCCTGAATCATCCTGATTTGTCAAAAGACTACATGTAAGTAATTTGTACGAATATTTTAATTAATTTGGACACTTTAATCTTAACAATTATGTCTAAGCTGCACATATTTAATTTTTCCCATCTAAACCAGGGTTCAATATTACAGAAAACAGTCTAGAGGTGGAAACTGATAGATCATTTGAAGAGGATCCTGTTATTTAAGCAGTCATAAATATGTTTCACAAAACAATGAACACCTTGTTACAGCATATCTTGAACAGCCTAGAACAGATATTTGTTACTTTCACTCAGAATTGTTTGAAAACTCTAACAATACACAACTTGTAAGCTAAACTCTTAAGTTCAATATTACAGAGAACAGTCTTGAGGTGGAAACTGGTGGATCACTTGAAGAGGAAACTGTTAAAGCACAGAGACATGTACCAAAGAACAACAAGACATGATTGTTGCAGCATATCTTGAACAGCCTGGCATAGGTATTTGTCACTATATTTAAGGTCTAAAGAGTACAGATGTATTCACATATTTTTAGGTCACCTGAGTAAACTCAAGTTCAGGGTTTTGGTGTTAGGGGCTCTAATGAATGATTAAAGAAAAAAATGCATGAATTCCTCGAAAACCTTTTCCTTTGCTCCTGATTATTATGTCAGTGTTCTAATTAAGTACATATTAATGATAATGAAAAGTGCCTTTTCCAAAATGGTTAGTTTCAGATCCCCTGGGTCAGGGTACTTGGGATTGGGTGGAATCACATAGTCTGAAAATAAATTAATGCTTTGAAATTTTCTTTTTGGTAATAATCAACCATTTATGTTGAAATAAATTTTATGATAAAATTTCCAGAATTTTGAAATATGTGCCCCCAGGGTCAGTGGTTCCTGTGGGGTAGAGTGCACAACTGGTTAAAAAGTGGAAATACATTTTCTCTTTGTTACTCTGATCTAACTCTGGGTATTAAGTAACTAAAATAAGCAAGCTAAGTGTATAGTTATGATAAGCAATAGTGCCTCTTTCAAAATTTTGAATTTAATGGCCTTTGATTTAAAACATGAACCAATTCAATTGTTGGACAGTTGTTACATGATACTCAGGTGACCTGTAAGGCCCATGGGCCTCTTGTTTTAAATCACAATTCTATAATGGAAACATTTAGATAGACAAAAATTGTTTGTGACTGAAAGGTCTAAAGGACTATATCCCAACTCTAACATAGGGTAATTTGAACTATAGATATCATGATATGCTTTTAAAATATAAAATAATAACTTTCATGAAGATATATTCTAAATAAAAAGGCTCTTTACTATCACCAGAGGCAGTGAAATAACTCTGCATGCTGTTCATGTAAGCAGTGTCAAAGTCACAGGGATTGAATTTTAAGTTCTTGGCTATAACATAATAACTAATTATTGTTAAAGTAAGATCTAGATCTCAATATACTGTCCTAATGGTTGAATATAATTATCATTAGATACATTGTATTAAATTTCCAAAACAGAGGTCATAAGGCAAGGTCAAGTTTGCAGAATTTATAGAAATTTCACTAAAAAGTACAACTTTTTATATGATAGTACATGTATGAAGATAACATTATCTTACTTGGCATACAGCTGATCATGGCCAAGAAATATCAATCCTACTTAAGGGCATTTAGAGCATATATTTAAATCAGAAAATTTATTGTCCATTTTGCATTTTAATATAACCTTATAGAATGTTTACCATTTGTATTTTCAGTGTTTACTAACAACACCACCTCAACAGAACTTCAAGATAAAGAAAATTTACGTAATGAGAACCTCAATAAAGAAGATAGAAAAAGATCAATGGTTTTAGTTTTCAATGTAGAAGCTGATGTCACAAATGTCTTTACTTAGTCAGGGAGTCCAGAAACAAGTTTTGATTCTTTAAAATTGAAAGTGACTTTTTGTATAATCATTCATTTCTTGTATCTGGATTAATTGACTAAGTAAGAAAAAAGAGAAGATATTAAATCCAAGGAATTATCCAAGAAAAAAGATCATTTGCAGGAACTGCTAAGAAGCATAATTGTGTTTCCAAGGATTCGAAGGATAGAATTAATGGATTGAGTTTTGGGGCACTCAAAAATAATAGTTTGATATCAATTTCTAGGGCTTGTCATTGCATGATATTCATATGAAACCTGGGTTCTTTTTTGGCATGATTTTCATGCGAATTTTATTTCGCATGAAATTCGTGAGAATTTCATGTAAAAATCACATGATATTTTTATGCGTATATCATGCGAGGTGTTTTTCGTCTCCTTTTCATGCGAAGAATTTGCATGATATTCGTGCGAATTTCATATGAAAATCCTGCGAGCCACTTTTGCCTGAGTACTCCGTGATGGAAAACAAAGTCTTGTAATATACGCGTTTCTGTGGTTTGGCATATATAAAAGTGATGTTGTGCACTTTTATGCTTTGCATATGTATAAATTTAGACGAGTTTTTAGAAAGAGATATGGTCCTTCCTTTAAAATATTGTCATCATCATAACAACCTATTACTTCTCTCTTCCTATGGAAGATTTTATAAGCGTAAATGCATTAAAAGGCAATAAATATTAGTTAGAATATACAGTTTGATTAAGTAGAAAGCAATTCAAAATTTAAATTCCTTTCCATCCAAAATTACACATTTCTTTAAATTGCTGATAATACGAAGATTGAAATTGCACTTAAATTTGAAATAATATGAAAAGAGAAATTAATTCTGTAAAACATCATGCTTATGGAAGAGAATAAATATATATTAAATGCTTAACATATCTGCTGAGTTTTATAAGATAAGATGTTCCCGTGGGAATTGTTTGATCCCTTGTATTTTTCTAGCTTTCTCTTGGGTAAATCAAGTGAAATATCTCTTCATTCTCTGGAAAAGTAGGTTCTGTAATTTGTACATGCACATGTTCATGTTGGTCTTACAAGGTCATTTCGTTCCCTAACATTGTTTATTTAATTTTTCAATTTCTGCTTCTATATGTCTACAGAGAAACTTTTGATAAACTTAATTTTGCCATCTTTAACCGTGCTATGTTGATTGCACAATATGAGATAAAAAGCCTAAGGACAAATTCGATTTTACAATTAAGATCGATTTTATTGATGTTTCTAGCGACTCAATAAGTACAAATTGTTATTATGATATATTACGTACGTGTATTACGGTGGGAATCCAATTCAAAATAAAATTGATGGAATAATAAAATGACATTCACAGGAAGTTAATAAAATTTTCTTTTGACAATTCAAATAGGAAAATAAATTTTGGCATTTCATGTTTACATTTCTTTGCTTTTAAGAGAAAAAAAATCTTCGCTTATTTCAAAAAATGATGTTAAAGATTATTATTTCTAGCTTAGAATTAAATTCTCTCAATGAATTTTCATATAATTAACTCATCAAAAAGATAAAGATTTATAAAAATATGTTTTGTACATTAAAGAACGTCAGTTTTGAGCAGGTTACTCATAGTGACTCATATAAGAACAACTTGATTTATCTCGTATTCAAAAAAGGACATCATCCAAAGCAACTTACCTTAAATTAGTAAAATTTCGTCCCTGCTAATTAATAAGGTGCCAGGAATAGCACTTGACCAACGTGTAATTACGGGCACCTGATATATTTGCCCTTCCTTTGCTTGCTTTTCTGAAATAAATCATCATTAATGATTGTGTTTTCTTCTTTTTTTAATCTCTGTTGCCTTCTCCATTATTGATTGATTGTATTTTGTTTTACTTCCCTCTCGAGAATGTCTTATTGCAAACCATTGGCTTTTTAAACTTGCAAGTTTTACTGAGGAAAATGCAGCTAAAACAATCCGTCTTTTCCCTAAACTCAAACATACCAATCAAGGAATTGACGCGGTTTATAAAAGTAATATTCTTATAATCACAAAAGGATCCAGTCTTGTATTCCACCATATTTCAAATTAAAGGGTATACCTAGTATTTCCTACAAATATACATCGACCAATGCTTCCATACTTTGCAATTACAATTTTTTTTACATGTCCTGGATATCGAGCATCTGAAACATAAACCTCCATCGTGTTCATGTTCTTCTTCACCCTATAACTATATTATTGCTGGACACATTATTACAGGTGACGTAAACATTGTTAATAATGAAGACCTTAGATAACTTATTTTAAAAGGTCCTAAGTATCGGGAACCCCGATCCTTCAACTGGCGTCGGACTTTCATACATATTTTGGAATCTGTTGAGGATTATGTCAGAAGCTGGGCCAGATATGAAAAAGAGGACGTTGACACTTTGTCAGAAAGGATTAATTCTATCAGATCCATGTTAAATTCGCGTATTAAAAGATTGAGGGGCAAAATGAAAACCATCTACCCTTCTGTATTCAATAATCGAGAAGTGAAAAAAAATAGATAGATGACATAATCAGTACGTACGGGTCCCTGCTGGCAAAGCAAGTAACAACATTGTCTTCGTTTGTAAGGCTGATTATATAAATTGCATAATAATAATATATGAAAAAAGAACTTGGATTTTATTCTTCAAGTGGTAGTCCAACTTATACTCATAGTTCCCATTTAAGGGAAGAAATTCTTCAAAATCATAAGTCAGTTATATATTTTAAATATACCTAAAAACCAAAATGAATTTGAACTACCTTATATATATATATATTGGATTCCGAAACTTCATAAGAATCCTTACACACAAAGTTACATTGCGGGTTCCAGTAAAAGTTCCTTTACTTCTTATTAAGATATTGAAAGTAGTGAAGGAAAAACTTCAAGAGTACTGTGTAACAATATATTCAAGAAGTATTGTGAATCAGATGTGGATACTCAAAAATCCCAAAGAACTTTCCACAACTTGAAATTCATACTTGGATATTTTACTTGAAAAAGACGTTAATGATAATCTAACAACCAGGCTCTATGATAAACGTGATGATTTTAACTTTTCTATCTTCAACTTCCCTTACTTGAGCAATAATATACCTACATCACCTGCATACAGAGTTTATATATCTCAGTTGATTCGGTCTGCAAGAGCATGCTCTACGTATGAACAATTTTTAAAACGATGTGAATTATTGACAAACAAGTTGATGAAACAAGTGTATCAACAGTCTTGTTTAAAGTCTTCATTTCGTAAGTTTTATGGTCGATACAACGACCTTGTCAGCAAATACAATTTAAAACTGACTGACGTTTTTCATACTAATTATTAATCCAGTATTTATACACTATTCCTAACTGAGATTTCTAAAACTTTCTGTTCTACGAAAATATACACAAACTTTTTTCATTATGTCAAAAATAATAGGATATCTTAGCTTACAAAATGGTAACTTCATGTATATTCGCTTAAGTCTAGACAGATTGGTAACAATGTTGTATTCAAGACATATAAATTTAAAACCACACAAATAAAGCTTAATGGTTGAAAAGTTTTTGAAGACCAAAATGATGGTTCTCATCCTTTCATTGCAAAGTTTGCAAAGTTTACTATACTGAAACGCAAAAGAAACGCAACAAGCAGTATTCTACAAATGTTTGAATTTTTTATCTAATGATTTTCAAAAAAAGAATGCAGCAAGGCTAAACTAACTCTTCAGAACATCAGAGATTTGATAAAAATGTTAAATGTTTATCTTTTAACTTTACTTAGTAACATATGACTGTTAAAACACCCCTCCCAGCCATTCAGTTACAACGTGCAAGACTGTCCTAAACAACTTTAGCAACCTAATTTCTACGATACAAAAGGTTAATTTATATCGCAATTTGAGCAAAGGAATTATTTTTTGCCATTTTTGAATGCCTGTTTTTCTGATGATTAAGTCGAATTTTCTCTAACTAAGCGCATTGTCGTAACCCTTGGACTTCTGGTCCAAGGACTATCGTTTATGCATATAATACGTAAGACCCCTTTGAGGCGTACTTTAGTGTATTTTGCATCATCAACTCTCCATCACCTTGACTTTGAGTTTTTCCACCTAGAGCAATGGAAGATTTTATTTTTTGAAATATTGCTGCATTACTTAAGATGAAAAGTACAAACCCTGTAAACTCCATAATTATACAAATGTTTTGTTAAACATGCATTTTTTGATTTCTGTTAAGCAGACTCAGACTTGATTTCCAGTTATGGTATGAAAATCGTTCAACCGTTAAATTACAGATATTTACTAAATTGAAGATATCCATAATTTTAAGAAACAAAGTTCTTCACTTTACATAATTATTTCCACCTAAAGTTGTGTGTTGCTTTTCTTTTGCGTTTCAGTATATTAATGTATGTATATTTCTGGTGTTTATTCATTGATAATTTGCCTGCCTTCAGTTAACTTATTAAAAATAATGAGAAGCTGAATCAACCCCAATTTATGCCAAAGTATAAACATACATTTTTCAATGTTTATTTGATGTTTTTCTTGTATGGAAGTTATATGTGGAATGTTCAATGTTAGATTAAGAATAAATATGTTTTAACATATTGTACTTATCTTTTCAACATAAATCCATTTTTAAAAAACTTTATTTCAAGAAAAAAAAAGAAAATCACAAATCTTCAGTCAAAATCTTCATTAAAAAAGTATATATACACAAGAGAAACGTTAAAAACGATTGTAAAATTCTTGTACATGTACATGTGTAATAAATGAAAACTTACAACCTTAAAAAAATATGCCCTTATTTACTGAAAAATATAATTAAAAAAAAATAATGAAACATAAAATTTTAACTTTCATTTGACCACAATATCTTTGTAGCTTACTCATTAAATAATGCTGAATAAGATTTTCGTATAACAAACATTACTGACTTAATTTCAACTTGAAAATACATGTAGCTGGACTTAAAATATAACATTTTACACATCTTACACATTGTAAAAATATCCAACAAAATCATTTTGTAATGTCATCTATAACGTCATAAGTCTTGATATATAACCAAGAACTCCAC